CCTTTCAAGTAGCTGGAACTACAGGCATGTGCCACCACGCCCGGCTAATTTTTTGATTTACTGTAGAGACAAGATCTCACCAAGTTGCCTAGGCTGGTCTCGAACCCCTGGGCTCAGGCAATTCTCTCACCTCTGCCTCCCAAAGTGCTGGGATGACAGGCGTGAGCTACCATGCCCAGCTGCACCTCAGTTTCTCACATCAACAACATGAGACTAACAAACCCCCAGAGGGTTTGTGAGACAAAGTAGCGGATGTAAGAAGCCTTGTCTGCTCTTTGCTGCTTGCCAGCACGATTCACAGAGCCGCCACCTCTGTGACAACTGCAGTGCTGCAGAAGATGCTTTGAAGACAACACAGGATGAAGCACTCAGCGCCCACGGCTCTTGCCTGAGTCACTGCGTTCCCTAAAAGCTAAACGCTCCGAGTTCTCACCTTTTCCTACACGTACGATAGTGTCCGGCGGAAATGGCGGAGATGTGCTCTGGTCCATACCCAGGTGTGCCCTCACACCCAAAGCTCAATGTGAGTCCCTTCTATGTATCCCAGTGAAGAGTGCTGTGATGTGATCACAGCTCTCTGCAGCCTTGACCTCCTGGGCTCAAGCAATCCTCTCACCTCAGCCTCCTGAGAAGCTTTTTGTAGAGATGAGGATTTCGCTATGTGGCCTAGGCTAGGCTCAATCCCCTGATCTCAAGTGATCCTCCTGCCTCTGCCTCCCAAAGCGCTGGGATTACAGGTGTGAGCCACCGTGCCCAACCCAGAGCAAGCTTGATGTGACTTTGCATGTACTGAATCTTCACCACCTGTGAACTGAAACATTGTGCTGGAGGGTCTGACAGAACAACCCTCAGGCTGTAGGCTTCAGTTTATGGCCCTCAGTGAGACTTCTGAATTTCAATGAATTTAACTTCTTTAAAAGCTGGATTTTTCAGCTGGGCTTGGTGGCTCACACCTGTAATCCCAGCACTTTGGGAGGTGGAGGTGAGAGAATTGCCTGAGTCCAGGGGTTCAAGACCAGCCTGGACAACTTGGCAAGACCTCATCTCTACAAAAATCAAAAAAATTACCCAGGCATGGTGGCATGAGCCTGTGGTTCCAGCTACTTGGAAGGCTGAGGTGGAAGGATTGCCTGAGCCCAGCAGGTTGAAGCTGCAGTGACCACGAGTGTGCCACTGCACACCAGCCTGGGTGACAGAGTGAGGCTCCAACTCAAATAAATAAATAAATAAATAAATAAAGGCCGGATTTCTCTTTCTTTCACCAACAGGTTGGTTGTTGGGAAGAGTAAACTAAACTGGCATTCCTTTTTTTTTTGAGTTGGAGTCTCACTCTGTCGCCCAGGCTGGAGTGCAGTGGCCGCTCCTGGCCACCGCAGCCTCGACCTGCTGGGCTCCAGAGATCCTTCTGCTCAACCTTCCAACTAGCTGGAACTACAGGCGCGCGCTATCATGCCTGGCTAATTTTTGATTTGTTGTAGAGATGAGGTCTTGCCAAGTTGCCCAGGTGGGTCTCAAACCCGCAGGCTCAGGCAATTCACTCACTCAGCCTCCCAAAGCATGGGATTACAGGCTGAGCCACCGAGCCCGTCCTAAACTGACATGCTTTTTTTTTTTTTTTTGAGTTGGAGTCTCACTCGTTCGCCCGGACTGGAGTGCAGTGGCCACTCCCGGCCACCGCAGCCTCGCCTGCTGAGCTCCAGCGATCCTTCTGCCTCAGCCTTCTGAGTAGCCGGAATTACAGGCACGTGCTACCACGCCCGGCTTATTTTTTTTTTTTATTTATTGTAGAGATGAGTTCTCGCTGCCCAGGCAGGTCTCGAACCCACAGGCTCAGGCAATCCACTCACCTCAGCCTCCTAAAGGCGCGGGATTACAGGCTGAGCCACCGAGCCTGGCCTAAACTGACATTCCTAAAGGTCTGCCCTGACTGGCATATGGCAGGTATCCATTCTCCTAAGAAGGAGCCCGAGTCGGTGAAGACTGTGGTTGTGCGGGCAGCCCCTCGTGCTGAGGGTGATGGGGGACCCGGCACTGGCTGGTAATGCTGGGCTCCGAGCACAGATGTCAAAGACACAGACCGCGGCAGTCTCATCTGTATCCTGTCCCTCAGCTGTGGAACTCGGGGGAGTAGCATCACTTGACTCTAAGCCCCGGCCCTTCCCTCAGGAAAATGGGGCTGAAACCCGCCTTGAAGGGTCGCTGTGAGGATCACATTGAGAGCATAACGCAAAGAGCGCCTGGCACATGGCGAGCGCTCATTCGGGGACAGCATGCCTCTCTCGGTACTAGTCATAATTTGGAGTGTCACTAGACTCCACCATAAACCCAATGAGATGGAGGTAAGCGTCCTTCACTTCAGATCTGGGCCCGGGCCCAAACCCCTAGGGCAGAGAGGGGTAGAGACAGGGGAAGGGGTGTCTTCCTTGGTTTCCCACTGGCTGAACCCAGTGGCGCAAGCTATGTCCATGGGAACAGCAATCTGAAGTAGAAAAAGGGTTGGCTGGCATTCAGCAGATATGGACACGTGAAGGGCTTGGTTGTTCGGGCTATTAACAAACAAACAATAAATAAATAAAACAAGATCCAGGTGCAGTGGCTTGTGTCTGTAGTCTCAGCCACGCGGGAGGCTGAGGTGGGAAGATCGCTTGAACCCAGGAGGTGGAGGCTGCAGTGAGTCTCTTCAAGAAATAAAAGGAATGCAGTGTATGGAGGACTCAGCGCCAGAGCCGGCTGATAGAGGGCCTCAAATGAACACGGGTGCCTTTTCTTCCTCTTCTCTCAGTAACTTCCAGAAAGAAAGAATGAGGTGGCTGGGGGCGGTGGCTCACACCTGTAATCCCAGCACTTTGGGAGGCGGAGGCGAGAGGATAGCCTGAGCCCAGGGGTTCGAGACCCGCCTCGGCAACTTGGCGAGACTTCCTCTCTACGATAAATCCAAAAATGAGCCGGGTGTGGCGGCGCGGGTCTATAGTCCCAGCTACTCGGAAGGCGGAGGCGGGGGGATCGCCGGAGCCCGGCAG